CTCTATCTGAGACTACTTCAGGGTTCACTGGAGTTGTAGTACATATCAATACCATATCACAAATAATGACATAAACCTCAAAATACAAAAACTGTGCATTAACTGACACACATCACATACCTTACAGGCATTTGTAAACATTCTTGAACACATTAAACATTTGCAATTAACCATGAATACAAATTAACTATTTAAATAACTGACCTTTTTATATAGCCAGGGCTACACCCTCCCCCTTCTGAATGTCTGAATGTCCCCATCAGACCTATTTTCAGTAGGCCAGTTAAAAACTCACTAAAGAGTACGGGCAGTAACATTTAGGAGTCAGGGTCGCAGCAAATCTGAATTACCATACCTCGGTAACTAATAGTCACAGGTCTGTCAGTGGGCCTTCCAAGTTCATCATAACTGTGACGCAAAACAGGTCTCACCCTCCTTTTCATTTGGAGGTCATAGGGTGAGTCAGCATCCCCCACAGAAACACTAGGTGCAGGAACATCCCTCTCCTCCATCTCTTCAGCCACCACAGAGTCTTGGTGTTGCTGTAAACATTCCTCTGTCTGATCTACTGCTACTGAGAGTTGTTCCCCCAGTTCCTCCACCTCAGACAATTCATGAACACTGAGAAGATCACTTTCCATCTGTTCAGGAAGGCTCACAACCTCCTTTTGCTTAGCCCCCTCACTTTGAGGTTCAACACGGTCATGAAAGGCTAAAGGAGGTTCATAGTAGACACACTGTTCTTCAGACTCTGAGGACGAATCATCTTCACTCAGATGCAACAAATCTTGTGTCTGACTTTCATTTTCACAACTCACTTGCTGTGCCCTGGTCCTTGGTCTCTCTGGTCGCGCTGTCTTTTCTGATGGAGCAGACATCCTGACCATGTAACCAATGGGCAGCAGGTGATCCCTATGCATGGTCCTTACTATACCAGTTCATCTCTCTGGTTTTACACGATACACCGGGAGATTGGGTAACTTGGCCATCACTATGTAAGGTAGTGAGTTCCACCTGTCTGTTAGCTTGTGCTTTCCTGTGAGGCCCAGATTCCGAACCAGCACGCGATCACCTTCTTCAAGTGTCTGATTCCGAACCCTCGCATCATACAGTCTCTTGTTTCGTTCCTGGTTCCTGGAAGCTGCATCAGCGGCTAGCTGGTAAGCTTGTTGAAGTTCTTTTCTCATGTTAACCACATACTGGTGGTGCTTTAAGTCATTTTCTTCATCTGACCCCACACCAAAACACAGGTCAATGGGTAGTCGCGCCTCCGTTCCAAACATGAGGAAGTAGGGCGAATATCCTGTGGCATCATTTCTAGTGCTGTTGTAAGCATGTACTAGCTGGCTTATATGCTGGCTCCACTTTGGCTTTTTAGCTGGATCCAGGGTGCCCAACATTGCCAGCAAAGTACGATTGAAACGCTCAGGCTGCGGGTCACCCTGAGGATGGTAGGGTGACGTTCTGGACTTACGAATGCCCAGCAGGGTCAATAGCTCCTTAATGAGCTTGCTCTCAAAATCTCTTCCCTGGTCCGAGTGAATGCGAGCAGGCAATCCATAATGCACAAAGAACTTTTCAAAAAGGACTTTGGCAACAGTCAGAGCCTTCTGATCTTTTGTGGGAAAAGCTTGAGCATACCTGGTGTAATGATCAGTGACCACCAGCACATTAGCTATACCTTTAGAGTCAGGCTCAATAGAAAGAAAGTCTATGCAGACCAGGTCTAGAGGGCCATTACTGGTGATGTGCTGTAAAGGGGCAGCTTTCTGTGGGATGGACTTCCTAGCTACACACCTTCCACAGTTCTGTATGTATGTTGCAACTTCAGATGCCACTCTGGGCCATTAAAACCGGTCTTTAATGAACTCTGTAGTTCGTTCTGTGCCCAGGTGACCAGCATCATCATGTACTGACTTTAGTATCATTGGCCGATACTTAGCGGGCATGACGATCTGACTTACTTCTCGACCAGAGGGTCTTGTGGTGACTCTGTAGAGAAGGCCACGCTTAACCTTTAACTTGGATCTTTCTCGCATGAGCAACACAACATCTGGGTTTGCATGTGTAGGAGCTGAAACGCTTTGGTTTCTCTCAACTTGGAAGTTTCACTACACCTACAACGGGATCAGAGTCTTGGGCTTCTGACAGTTCTTTCAGGCTTAGCTGTTCCAGCGGGCTCACTTCTATCTGGGTGAAGTTTGCATATAAAGCTGGAATGGCGTCTGGCGCAACACCCAGTTGGTCAACAAATCTGGTGGTTTGTTCTTGAAACCCATTGGTAGTGATCCGATGACACACAGCTTTTACTCCAGGAGGTGGGATATCCACCCATCCACCTGTTGTGTCTTGCGGACTCCTGGACAGTGAATCGGCATCCACGTTTTCACGGCCGGGCTTATATTGAATGTTGAAATCATAGGTGGAAAGTGCTGCTAGCCTGTCGCGTTCAACCTGGCAGTGGTCAGGACGTAGGTGAGTGGGTTATTATCAGTTCTCACCGTGAACTTAGCCCCATAAAGGTAGTCATGGAACTTCTCCACTACTGCCCATTTCAGAGCCAAATACTCCAGTTGGTGAACTGGGTAGTTCCGTTCTGCATGACTCAACTTGCGGCTGGCAAACGCTACCGGGCGGAGCCCTTCTGGGTACTCTTGGTTCAGGACTGCTCCTATCCCATCCAAACTGGCATCAACATGTAGAATGTATGGTCTGGTTGGATCAGCAAATGCCAAAACTGGAGCATGTGTGAGCTTGTAAACAATGCTCTGAAAGGCGTCATCACAAGCTGGGGTCCACCGATCACCAAACGGCTCGGCAACTCGAAAGTAGCTATTTTGCTTTCCTTTAGTGACACCCCTTTTGCTACTCTGGGCAGGAGGATATCCTTTGGTCAGTTCTGTCAAAGGGCGGACTATGGCGGAGTAGTTTTGGATGAACCGCCGATAGTATCCACAAAATCCGAGAAAAGATCTTAGGGATTTCAGATCAATGGGTTTCTTCCAGTGGGTCACCGCACTCACTTTCTCAGGATCAGTGGCAACTCCTGAGGCAGAGACAATGTGTCCCAAGAACTTCACCTGGGGTTGGCAAAATTGACACTTGTCAATGGAGACTTTGAGACCACATTCCTCCAGTCGGTCCAGGACTTTAAGTAGCCGTTCGTCATGCTCCTCCAGTGTCCTGCCAAACACAATAAGGTCATCCAGATACACAAGGACTTGAATCAGATTCATGTCTCCAACTGCTCTCTCCATTAACCTTTGGAAGGTTGCGGGCGCGCCAGTAATGCCTTGAGGCATCCTCTCAAACTGGAAAAACCCAAGAGGACAGATAAAAGCTGTTTTCTCTTTATCAGCCTCAGACATCTCCACTTGGTAATAGCCACTTCTCAGGTCCAGTACAGAAAACCACTTGCTTCCTGTCAGGCAATCCAGTGCATCAGCTATGCGGGGCATAGTGTACTGGTCTGGGATGGTTCTGGAATTCAGTAGACGGTAATCAATACACATCCGCACCTTGCCATTCTTCTTCCGGACTATGACAATCGGGGAAGCATACGGACTGCGTGACTCTTTGATTATGCCGGCTGCCAGCAGCTCTTGTAGATGGCGTCGGACATCTTCAATGTCAGCAGGTGCAATTCTGCGAGATCTCTCCTTGAATGGCCACGGGTCTCTCGGCCTTATGTGATGAGTGACACCTTTGGCTAAGCCAACATCCCACTCCTCCAGGGAAAAGACATCTGCTCTTTTTGCTAACTTTGCTGCTAACCTGGCTTTCCACTCTTCAGGGATAGGAGAATCTCCAAAGTCAAACAGTTCAGGATCAATGGACCTTTCTTGGGCGGAGGTCTTTGTTAACTCAGTGACAGTGTCCACCAAGTACACCTGAGCTAGCACTGTACCGGTGGGGACAATAGTTTCTCGTTGGGTCTCATTTCTTAGCAGAATTGTGAAACTGTTAGTTCCACTTCGCACACTGCATACTGCACTGCACGAGGAGGGATAGTGATAGGCCCGGGACCCTGCCACTTCACATGACCCACCACGCCTGTTTGTTTGGTGATAAGTGATGATGGCTGTTCTGAGGAGAGGGTATTTATCCTCAGTGAGCGGACCTCATCTTTTCCTCCTACCTCTTCATAATCTCTCAGCAGAGAATGCAGTTTCTGGGAGTTAGTGCCAATGATGACAGGAACAGGGTCTGGGCTCTTTGGGTCTGGACACACCAAAGCCAAGACTGTGACTGTTTCTACAGCTTCCTTTGACTTGGGGGGTGGGAAACCCACCTCAACTGCCACATACCCCTTGTATGGGTAGTTGGAATCACTCAGTCCCCATATGGCGAGATCTTTTAAAGGAAGAATGGGCACATTGGGGATGAAACGGGAATAACAGCCCTCAAATATAATGGTGATTCGAGAGCCGCTGTCAAGGAGAGCTCTACATGGTTGTCCCTCTATGGTCACCTCGGTCATCATGGATGGACCAACCAATCCATCTGGGAGTCCACACTGTGAGGATGTGTGCACGGAACTTTTCCTGATGGAACCAACCTGTGTGGGCTCGGAAGCGCCACCTGTAGCCCCTTTTTCCTCTCTGCTCCTACGGAGGGCTCCGAGTAGCCTCTGGATTACTTTGGCAGTGTTTTCAGGCGCCATGCAGCGGGTGGCAATATGGCCGTTCTCCCCACACCGGTAACAGAAGTAGCTTTCTGAATCATTGGCAGCATATGGTCTGTTTACTTTGCTTCGTTTGGCTCTCCCCTCTGTCTTTGTCGAGTCCATTTGGGTTGAACCCTGTGCCACTGCCATAACAGTCAGCTGGTGTTGTAACTGTTCAACTTGTTGCTTTAACTGCTGGACTTCATTCTCCGCCCCAGCCTGAGCAACTTTCTTGGTTTGTTTCGACATTAGCTCGTCATCTGAGCGCTTGCTTGTTAACTCTTTAATCTCACAGCGTAACTCTTATCTCGGCCTTGAGCTCTTGAACCTCGGTTCATTTGTCTTTGGTCTCTTTGCCAACATTCACTTGTCTAACTGTGGTGTTTGACTCATACCTCACCCTTGCATGGTCTTCTTCTTCTCGAATCTCACTGAGCAGCCTCAGGAAAGTAGGTGGTTCCTCTTTCCTCTCTCTGAGTCTTAGCTGCAGTAACATCATCTCTGACTCAGTTGCACCCCGTATAAGCTGGTCAATACGGGCACGGTCGACTCGATGGCTAGGCAGACCCCCTCGCTGTACTACTTTGGTCAAAGAGTGTTCCAATCTTCTCAGAAAGTCTGACAGCTTTTCACCTCGCAGTTGACCCAGGCTCCTGAAGGCGACGTACAAGTCTTCGCCAGTCTCCAGGGATCCAAATGCACTTTCTAGAGCCTCTACATAGCTCTCCGGGCTGGCATCAGGATTATCTCCCCGTACAGCTTGGATGATTTCCAACGCCGGTCCCTTTAGGCTCTCAATTACTCTCCTTCGCTTCTCTCGCTCAGAGCAGTCGCACTCTTCAATCATCAGGCGAGCCTGCTCAACCCAGCTATCAAGGCTCTCTTCACCGGCTGGCGTCGGAGAGTGGCCAGAAAATGTCCGCAGACGTCGAGATGGAGTATTCTCACTGGTAGGTCGCATAGTTTTCGCTAACAAGTCTCCGACTGCCCGAATGATGGCTTCAGGGGAGTTTTCCTGTGGGGTTCCACTAGACAGCAAGGCAGTAACATCATCAATGGTTTTACCTTCTTCTACCATTAGTTTCTTAAGCTTGGCTGAGAAGTCATCAGCTGACCTCACAGATTCAGTGAGGAGAAAAATTTTCCATACAGGACCTCCGTTCAATGGCTGCACATGTGGTGGTATGCGGTCTGGCTGTATATCCTGGCGGCATTCACACAGCACAAGGTTATCACCTGTCTGGGTGTCTGTTAGTCTATCTCTCACTTTTACTCTCCCAAAAGCTTTTATTGACTGAGCGGTCTCTTCAATGTCTGATAAGTCAAAGTCAGTAGGAACATCATGCAGTATAAAAGCCCTGTTTGGGTCTAAGCTCAGGTGCAAATTGAGACTCTTTTTGAGCAGTCATCCTACAAACCTTAATGCTGGTGTGCTAAGCTGTGCAAATCTGCAAACCAAATATCCCTCTAAAGAACAAACTAGAAAAGTTGAGCACGGAAGTATCCCAGCGGTGCCTCCAATTTGTGTAACACCCGTCCCACTTCTATTGAGAGGGGCCCTGGGTTCCTGTTGTTACTTTCCTATTGATACTCCCTTTATGATGCTTATGGTATAAAATATGCAATAAAATCACACTATATAGGAAAAAGAAATCACACACAAGAAGGTCAATTAAAAGTTAACTCCACTTTAGTGAACAATTAATTAACACGGCAAAAAAAAAAGAAAAATCAATTAAGTTTGTTGAACAATAGTATAGTATCTACTTCAACATAAACAAAGTAATCGAATAATATTATGGGCCCACACGCACTCTCACCACCACACACACACACCTCAAATACTACAGTCTTAGCCCACCCCTCGTTGCAGGCCTGGGTCGCGGCTCGGGTGCGTTGGGACCTAAAACAATATGGTCACTTCACTTGTTGCCAAGCAGTAAAAAAACGTGCACACAGTACTCACACCTCCTGGCAGTTTAAGGGGACAGCCGGGGAAAACTGAGTCAAGGCTACCAGCAGGCCGCGGCAGCAGCACTCAGTCGTCGTCTCCGCGTGCTCCCACGTGAACACATAACTTCAGCACACCAGCAAAGGGGACCTCTCCAACACGCCAACAAGACGTCCGTCTCCTCCTCACAGTATCACACAACTCCGCTCACAGTAGGGTACAACAGTTTTCCACTCCAGTTAACATCCGTCAACCCGAAAATACTTCTGTCGCCCTTCTATGAACTCTGCGTTCACTCCACACTGTTCAGCTCTCGTCTCTCTCTCGCTTCTTGCCGAGTGCACACGGCTCCCCCCTTACTCCCGCCCCTCTATCTGAGACTACTTCAGGGTTCACTGGAGTTGTAGTACATATCAATACCATATCACAAATAATGACATAAACCTCAAAATACAAAAACCGTGCATTAACTGACACACATCACATACCTTACAGGCATTTGTAAACATTCTTGAAAACATTAAACATTTGCAATTAACCATGAATACAAATTAACTATTTAAATAACTGACCTTTTTATATAGCCAGGGCTACATAAGAATAAATTTAAAAAAAGTTCCAAAACAATAATTTGCGTTCAAAGTTCAAAGGAGTAGAGCCACACAACGTGAGTTCATAAAGCTGGCACCAACTGCTGGATAGGTAGCGCAATATCGGCCATATAGGCAGTCTTTTTGGCCGATAGCCGATACTGTTAATGACTCCAATATCGGCCGGCCGATATATCGGTCAGGCCCTAGCAGACATGTTTGACTTAGAAGACCCATGACCTGATTTGGACACCGGGGAGGACTCTGCTCGTCTTCACAACCAAAAATGGTACAATTTGTTTACTTTTGTTAAATATTTCATTTCTGTGCTCCACCGGGAGCTCTCAGCCGACGAGTTCTCAGCTGACTATAGATCTTCGCTCCATCATACTGTCTCAATGTAATTCAGTAATCTACAGATAATTAAAACAATGTGCCGCCAGTTTTGCCACTGCGTGTATATATTGATATAATGCCAGAAAATATTTAATCGACAGATTACCAGACTTAATCTTCTTGACTGACTGGGATGATGGAGTAACTCACTACAGGGTGGGCCATTTGTATGGATACATCTTAATATTGATATTAACGTCCTGTTTGTGACACATTAGTATATGTGAGGGGGCAAACTTTTTAAGATGGGTGGGGGACAATGGTTGCCATTTTGAAGTTGGCCATCTTGGATGCAACTTTTATTTTTTCAATAGGAAGATTTTACAAAATATAATTACAAAAATAACAAATGTTAGGCTAAATGTAAACACGAACTGAGGACAATATTTTTCTGATATACAGGGTTTATTCAGTTGTCTAAAAATGTTACATAAAAAAATACCGCTATAATTAGCGATGGGTACCGAATTCGGTACTTTTTAAGGCATCGACCGAATTCCATAGTACCGACTGAGCACCGATTCACGTCATTTGAAATGGTGCCTTGTTTTTGTACCCATCCTTCATAACGAGAACTTGCCTAGACAGCTGCGCAAGAGCGTTATGTCGTCGGTCGCTGCGAGCCAGTTGTAAACAGAGCAGCGTGGTAGAAAGAACGCACGCTAAAGCTTGGGTCTACTTCACTAAATGTGATGGGTAACTGGGTCATGATGAAACCAGCGACAACAATCTAAGTGTGACATCCTCATCTTAATCTGCTCCAGTAGGTAAATAAAATGTTTAAGATAACGTTAGCTTGATATGTTACCTTCCGTTTCACTAATGGTACGTTCGCTTTCTCCTCGGAACTCCAAATTTCCGACTAGAAGAACATGAACGCGCTCTAAAGTTTGGCTTCACTTTACTAAATGTGACGGGTGATTGGGTGAAGATGAAACCAGTGACAACGATCTAAGTGTGAGGCATCATCGTTTAAATCTGCTCCAACAGCTAAATAAACTGTTTAAGATAACGTTAGCTTGATATGTTAGTTTCCATTGTCACCATTGTTATCAGTTAATGGTGCGTTCGCTTTCTCCTCGGAAATTCTAACTTCTCAGTAAGAAATATCAAAGAAAAAGGACGGCAAAAGGAATGAAGATACACAGTAAATTTAGTTCACAGTAAAGATGTTTGCTTCAGTTTAATTATCAGCTTATAAAACTACAAGGACGATGTTAAAATACAAACAGTTGTATGTTATTTATCGTGATGTTTATCAAATATGGTTATAAATTGAGAAAAATATATATTTAATTATAAAAGAGAATTAAAATATTAAACACTCAAAAGTATTGAAAATTGGTACTGTTAAGTACCGGTATCGATTCCTAGGTACCGGGAATTAGTACCGAATCAATTCAAATGTCAAAGGTACACATCCCTAGCTATAATACAGAAAAGACTTGCCTGCTGGAGTCCAGAAGGAGCTGTGCGGTTCCGGATGGATTTATAGATGTAGGTTATTATTTTAGATCAGATCTATGTTATATGAGTGTAGGACACGGACATTTGGCTCAGACCTTCTGCTGCAGCTGTAAACATAATTTTCCATAATAATTGAGAACACGAAAGTAAACAAAATACAGCTTTTCACAACACTGGCAACAGCCGCTTCCTTGTTTGACAAGTTTGAGTGACATATTCTATAGTAATTTGTGACAAAATTGCTTAACAAAATGAAAAATTGAACTCAGTTCATGTTTATATAGATGGTAAAGTATAGTTACACTGAATTTCTACAATTTCAATGCAGATTCTGAAGAGAACCAGTTGATCATCTACATCCAACTCCTGCGCGTAAATATATTTAGTAAGAACTAGATTTAAAAGGTTGCCATGAACTTTACAATCTACATCCAAATGTTTTTATTGTGTTCCAGGTTTCAGCTGCGTGTGGATCGCCTACAGAGTTGACTGGATTTAACCCTCAGGCTGTGTTGTGAAGGGAAGAGAGGCAGCTCGGTATGGGAGAGTGAGATACTTTGATTTTCTCTGTGTGAAACATTTCTAAACTGGCAGCTGCATAGACATTACTCTCTATTTCTCTGCTGCCAAGCTAAACACCAAGTAGCTCACGGCCAATGCCAATGCTGTCGTGGAGATGGATCCAAATGAAACACCAATTATTACTTTATGGGCGCAGGTCAGGTGACTGAAGAGTTGCGGTTGATGCCTCTTTTCTTTGTGGGACAACTATATCAAACCAGCGTGATTAAGATGCAAAGAAAGACTCATTTAAATAGAAGCTTTTGTTAAAAGCTAACCTCATCCAAGTTGTGACTAGTGCCGTGCCATCTGACCATATAAGATCGTTAAGGATTATAAATAGATGACAATCTACCAAAGCTCGGAGATCAGGGAACTGTCTATTTGCGTTCTATCACTTGTGCAATTATTTATGGATGCCTCTAAGAGCACACATTTTTTCTCAGCCGAGTCACGCTATTCACTAGTCTGCTTCTGTCGACACCACAGACACACCGATGAACCAGTCAGAGCAAGTTTAAGGCAGTATGTTGGTTTGTTTAGTTGGGGTGCTCGTTAGAGCTGGGGAAAATAATTTAATAATCGATGTATCAAGATGCGGGCATAAGCAATCATGAATCTTTGAAGAAGCATGCCATACTTGATTATAGCTGCTAGCATTAGCCACTTGCTTGCTCCGTCTTCAAGTGGTCATTACATGTATTCTCGCGCATCTCCCCGATCTGGAAGCCTCTGGGTCAATGTTCTGCTGTAAACTTTGCATTTGGCCTTGTGGCTTTTATTATTTGAGGACGTTCATGTGTGTTTTAGCAAGCCTTTTCACCGTGGCTGCCGAGTGCCGACCGGAGCTTTGTTTATGCCAAACCCCTCCCCCGCGTAGTGAGGAAACAGCTATGGAGAGCAGAGAGGGACAAATAGCAGAAGTGTAATTCTGACTAGAGAATGCATGAGATAAAAAAAAATTTTAAATGTATGTATTTTACTGGTAAATAACCTCCAAAACATCTGAGTTGTCGAAAAAGAAAAAAATTGTGACATGATTTTTTTCAATATCGCCCACCCCTAGTTGTGACACCAACATCTTCCTCGTCCTCTAACTTATAAGTGAAGGGTTTTGTGACGTCATGATTTCAAATGCAAAATTATCAACCATTAGAAAAATTATTTCAATGAGTGTTATTTTCTTATATTGACTGTAGTAACAGGTGGTTACCACAGTGACCTTAAGTCTCTGGGAGGTGCCATAGAGACCCTAATGTACCACTGGCAGCAGTTTTAACATTTTTGTTAATAAATTTGGCAGAATGTGTCTTTTTAAAGGCTTTTGACTGATTTTGTGTAACTTTGAGTACCACAGGTTGAAAAATGCTGCCTCACAAAATAAAAATAGTTTTATATCCAGCAGCCCTTATTTCTGCTGAGCTTTCTGAATTCAAACTTTGGAACATTTTTCTATGCATTTGAACACCGTGTGCTCGTTACACAGCATTTCATCAGACCGAGTTACTCTCATTACTGCGGCTCACGTGCAGGTATGTGCAGGTCCCTGTTCCCTCTGGGCTCTTCTCCTTCCGAGTTTATACTGTATGTTTTGATGCATTAGTATTCCATAACTAATACAGTGATTAATGATCCCATTAATGCTCATCAAATCCATCATGCAGGCAGTTAGCAGCTCAGCGCCTGCAGCTTTTTGTCCCTGCTGCTGCAGAGAAGAGAGCAGGAAGCTGATAATCTTTCACCAGATCTGAATGGTAATAATGGAACAATTAAGATGTCGGGATAACGTCCCGCCTTAGTCAGACCAGGAGAGCAGAACAAAGAGTTCCATCAGGGCTGTCAGCATTACAGAAAAAGGGTCATCGAAGGGACATTTTAGGTATTTCCAAGTGTTTTTCTGTGTAAAATTTAGAAATGACCATCTTATTTGTTGTTGATAGATCCCTGAGACAGTTCAAGTCCTTTGGACTGATGAGCTAACGGCTAGTCGAAAAGCGGTCCAAGACAAAATATTTAAGCAACTATACTTCTGTGGTTATATATCAACAACTGAAGCTAACTGGAGCATTTCTGTTGCATCCAGGAGTCGAGTCCGGTGTCGGTACCAGATCTGCTCGGGGTCCTGCACTTGCTGATGACGTCACATTACGGCCAACCCGCTCGGCTTTCACAAATAGGTTTTGGAAAGACATCAGCAGTTTTGTTAATAAATTCTTGTTTGTTACCATCTAAATGTTCTCTTTATAATTGTAATTTGTTAATGAAACACTGTATTATCTTTGTTTTGTAAAGAATGTTGTTGCAGCTATTTAGGTTAGTTACAGTTGTTGGGTTATTTATTGGGTTTGGTTGTTGGTTAATGATGAATGTATTTATTTATTTTAGTTTTGCCTGTGAGAATCAGTCAGGAGGAAAAGAGTTGTTTTGTTTTCTATAAATATGGGGACTGGTGTTGGACCAGCATGCACTGGGGTGGGCCTATAGT